AACAAACAAACGAAAATGTTCGAAGTTTAAATGAAAAAATGAGAATCACGGTACCTGTCTGCGGCTCTTTGCCATTTTAGGTCGACGGTAGAGTCATGGTGCACCAAACAGATGGATCGTTTGAGTTTGCAGTGACATTAAAGTTTGTCTTTTTTTTTGGGGGGGGGGGGGGGGGGGTAAGTGTTTTACGGCGTTCGCAACTCCATAAGGTCATATGAGCGCGCCCGTTGGCAGGAAATTTTGAATTTTTGCCCCTGTGGCGACCAAAGTCTACTCTAATCGATTTTTGGGCCACTAAGGGATCTTTAACGTACGCTATTTGCACATGGGACATCCTAGATTTTTCGACCTTGTCCGAGAAGGCTAGGTGTAGATGTGGCTGAAAGGCAGCAGTAAGAAGGAGCCAAGGAGAAGAAGTAGAGAGGCTACAGATAGAGTCAGGATCTTGAGAGGAGGGGGCAAAGGAGGTGAGGTGGTAGGTGCAGAAAGTTGAGACGAAAGCAGACAACAGAACATTGTTAGAGGCTCTGCGTCTTTAGTCTAGTTTTTGCCACTGAGGCGTTACTCTAGCCGTGAAGGCCGACCCGGGTCACCCCGAAAGGTTGCTGGCTTAAAGGGGCTCTGGTGAAACGGTGACTGGCCTTGCAAGCTGACCACGGATAAATCATGCTACGAGAAAACCTTGTCTTGTGATGTTAAGGGTTTTTCGGAGACTTTTCATTGCTCATAAAGTAGAAACCTATTTTTGCCAACTTCATATCAAATGAGAAGCTTAAATTTGAACACCTCTATTTTCTGAAAATATTTTCAAACTAACTAACAGACAGACAGAAACAACAGAGGGTAAGGTGAAGAAGGAAGAACTACCAGGTCATAATAGCACTTAGGGCTGGATCTCAAAAGAGAAGTCCAAACGGTGGATCGGGCTTACTCTGCTCACCTCTCTAGCCTCAACAACAAAAGTCTGCTTCGACTATCAAGGCACCCCGGAAATAGCAGTTCACAAGAGAGTGACAAACATACAAAAGAAGAAGAGGAAAATTGACTATAGTAAGGATGAGGAAAGAAAAAGCAATAGGTCCCCCAGTGTTGTTTCGTCACTGTATGAGCATAACCACTAGCTTTAACTAGACACTGTAAGCGCTGAAATATTGTCACAGTTACTCCCATGTCTTATTTCTACGAAAGTCTTGCTTCTACAACGTAACCACATAAGCCCGCCACACACCTCCAGTTGTGGGGCTCTCTTGGCCTAGAGGTTAAGGTGTTCGCCTCTCGTTCAATAGGTCCCGGGTCCGAATACGGATAACGACAGACAATTTTCTTCTGTAATATGTTTTCTTTTCACATCATTTCATGCTCTCTAACAATGTTCTGTCGTCTGCTTTCGTCTTCACTTTCTGCCCCCACCCCCTCACCCCCTTTGACACGATAAAACCCACAACAACAACAACAACAACAACAACACCACCACCACCACCACCACCACCAACAACAACAACAACAACAACAACAGTACACGTACAGTTAGGATCGCAGGATTCGTTCGAACAGGCCACCCTGCTGGTAAGGCCCCTTTAAGCCCCATTTATACGTACAGTTTATTGATCGACAAACTGAAGGATATCGAAAGAATGGCGGGCATCCTGTCAACTTCCCAGTAAAACTGAGCGTGGAAACGAGAAATCCTCGAAATTTCGAAGGGTTCTCAGTCCAGCCACCAGATATCTGGCGAAGCTAGATATTATTTTACGGCCGGCGAACTGAAGGCAAGACGACGAGGGAGCGGCTTCTTTGATGTTGCCCGTGACAGAGTTGAAAATGCGTTCCAAAAATGTCCTAGATATTGGTCAAATAGCAAAATAATACGATTTTCGTGATCAGCGACCCAAAATTAGTCAAAACCATACGGGGAACGCAATTTAATACCTGATTACCAAGTTAATTTTTGTGTGTGTTATTTTTTAGTTTTGTCAAGGACTGACACTTTAAGGATAAAAAGCTGTAAGTCGTAATGGAACTTCTCTCGTCAATAAACTTTCAGTTCAAAGATGACCCAGATCTAGTACATATAGGTTAAACTGTTAGTTTGTCGAAGAATAAACTGTATAGGGACCCTTATAAGTTTGTGGATGAATGAACTACCCGTCTAAATGCACCTGTAGAATGAAAAGTGTGTAGAACAGGCGCACCGGCAGTGGAATTTTAGTTACAGGGGGGGGGGGTGTTCCCCGCTGAGCGCCTTATCACTTCGGGGTCACGGAGGTCAGCTCCTTGTCGCCGCTGTCTGGGCTGACTTAATTTTTGGTACTTTTCAACGTACAGTTTTAGGCGTATCCTTGTATTTATGGTAATTATCAATTGATGCCCCCAAAGCACACATCTCTGCTCTTGAGACCCACAAAAAAACAACGGACTTTGTAATTCGTCTTGTTATTTCGTTAGACGCGCTCAATTCGGCAATGCTAAATTGTAAACATTTTTGTACAAGTGAGAATGAAAAAAAAATCAATATAAAATTAAAAAAACACTGCAAAAACTGTCGAGCTTTTGGAACATGAACGACATAGAATTGATGCAGATACTCAGAACAGATGGTATCTGCGCGTATAATAGGAAGCCGTAATTTTGCAACTTTATCCATCTGGCACACAAATCGCTACGAAGTAATTCCTCCAAATACAACTTTATATGTCTAATACAATCGGGAATATTCGCACTTTTTCTCTGAAGTTTATCAAAATTAATAATAATAGATAATAGATAGCATTTGTATAGCGCATATCCCCGCTCAACAGCAGGCTCTATGCGCTTTACACTATATTATTACCCCAGTAGACCATAGAACACTCCGAAACATTCTCAGCTTCCCGGGAAGCATACAGCGCGAGCAGCCGATTAAGCGCTCAAACACTAACAAACTGACAAGATCTTTCGCTGTCTATAGCCGGGTACCCATTCCCACCTTGGTGAAGTGAGGAAAATTCGTGTAAAGTGCCTTTCCCAAGGACACAACGTAGGGCCCTTGGCGGGATTCGAACCCACGACCTTACGGTTGCGAGTCCGAGAGCCTAACCACTAGGCCAGCGACGCCACAATTACCCTGATGTCTCTAGGAAAAAGTGCAAACCGATTTTAGTGCCAGAATACATCTACAACAATGTAATACACGAACAGTAGGCTATCAGTTACACTCCATAAATTATTCCTTATTTTTCTTAAAACGCTAGGTCTAGGTTTTGTAAGTTGACTGAATAACAGGGATGACTACTCGTGATTGTATTATAAGAATAATTTCTAGCTTTCCAGTGACACTGAATCAGCACCAGGCTTTTCCAGCTTTTATTTTAGTTTCTATAACCATTTGCAATAATTGACAATGTTCTGATTTTTTTTACTTTCATAAGTGTCCGCGCATATGTCTGACACAAAAACTAAGAATGAATGTTAGATCTAACTGTCTTTATTTTTATTCCATACAAGAAGTTCATCTCTACCCATGTATTAACACACTTTTGAGTTGTTAAAAACTCTTATAATATTTCTTTCTTTGTTGTACGCAGGCTGCCACAGACACAGCATGATTTATGAACAAACACAGAGTAACTTTCTCTTGTTTTATGGTAGAACAAGAGCTAACGCTGAGTGTCTTTAGTTAAAAAATGCAGATGTGCATCTTTCTTCTCTCATAACTTGACTATTACTACTCGCGCAGATTTAAGATTTCTCATGGCAAAAGACAAGATATTCGTAGTCAGTTTACAGATTTTTGGAGAGATCTGTCGGTGCCTTTTTAAAATAAACAATAATTTATTCATAAGTATGTAACTAAAATAGGACAAATTGGGTACGCTACAAACATTTATCTAGAACAAAAACTAAGGCACAGAAATTAACCATTCTAGCGTAGAATAAATTTCAAGACATTGAGCTTTTAGAACAAGCACGTAATGGTTTGCTGTGTGGAATGGGGAAGAAGTTATATCGTTTCAAACGTAGACAAAAATGTGAACTTCTTAACCGACGGCGGCAAAGTCGCTTAATGGCACATTGACCCCGTGACCCCGAGCCGGGGAGCTCCAGCGGGCTTCTGAATAACGCAGTGGTGGTGGGTGGACCAAAATTTGGGTGGGGGCTTAGGTTGCTTCCAGTTCTTTACCACCAAATAGCAAGCAATAAGAATTAAACAGTGATGATTTTTCTATAGTCACGGTGAGCCACGGCAGTTTGAGAACCATGCAAATGCGAAGAGTTGTCTTTGTTTTCCATCTCTTTGTTCTTAATTAAATTCTTGTTGATGGTGGAGACGAAGCCGATTCACCTCCAACGTCCTCTAATTAGTTTTCGAGTGATGAAAGACTTGCTTTACAAGTAGTTCGACCTGATTTATAATTTTTAAATCTCAGCGGCACAAACACAAACATGCACACACAATACTTCAAACATAATATTTCTATGAGCTGGATCGGGCGTGTAGTCGAAAAAGTTGAAAGCATCCAACAAAGAACCAATGAGCGCATATGTATCTGTGTCAGTGGGGGAAAGTGTGTCGTAAACTTTCACCCCATTGTCAGGGCTAGGAGAGCGTGAGCCTTCGGTAAAGTGTTATTTTTCCCCAGTCTTCTACCTTTTTACAAGAAGAGTTTCATTAAGGACAGTCTGTAGGAAAAGGGCTCATCTTTGCTGAGCCCTAAAGACATTTGATTGGCTGCTGGGTTACTATAGCTGTAAGCGGTGAAAACAGTGATTGGATAAGCGAGCAAGGCGCTAAGTTGATCACCCTGTGTTCATTGCGAGCGGTCATAACGGTTTCAACTGCTTATTTCATTATGGAGAAACATTCATTTACTTTGGGATAGACTTGGGGGTGGTGGGTGGGGAGGGGGTAGGGGCTCAAGCCCGTGAGCCCTCCACTACCCACCGCCTCTGGAGTCACGCTTACTGAAGGTAACAGAATCGGGCGAAAAGTGACGCCGTGAGACGTATAGGAGTGGTTCGAAATGTGCGGCGACAGTGTAAGTTTGGCTGACTTCAGTTCGACATTAGACATTCGACATTGACACATTAAATATTTTTTGGGAGCTTGCAGCAGTAAGGTGCGTCCCTTTGTTTTTTTTCAGCCGGGAAGAAAATTCTATCACCTTAAAAACAAACTAATATCACTCTGAATTTAAAAATAATTATATTTTTGAACTCAGAGTGCCAAAATTTCTCGTAAAATTTCAACAATGAATGTTCTTTCATTAAAAACTATTGAAAAATAGAATTCGATTCATACAATCAATCACTCCTTCATTTACTCTTTTTGAGAGTGTTAGTGATAACTTCCATCATGTAATGCACAGTCGAGGCGGGTGCGCCTGTGACAAACTGGCATGCTTCCGTTTTACGTGCACATCTTGTCATCACTTTTAAATCTTATGCAGCAGAAGGGACTGTTGTTTATCATTTTATTTCTTTTTTCAGCAATCATTTTTAATGGCCACTGAAGAGCTGTAAGATTCTTACATTCGTTATTCTGGTTCAATGCTGGTTAAATGTTCATTTTTCATGGTTTTGTATGGATTTATTTTTCACTCACCTCTTCTGATTCCCAGTTATTTCAGTCCATTATTGCGTTTTTCCTGTCTATTGTTCTGCATATTTTTTCTTCCTTTCTATCACGTTTTCAATTAGATCTAAGATTGCTGTTATTCGCCAAGTTTGGAAAGGTTTATGCCAGAATTGTTTAAAGTCAGTCTGATGTTCATCGTACAGTTCTGCAGATGGAGGTATGTAAAAAAAACAAAACAACTTAATTTACCTCCAGAAACTTAAGATATTCAACATGATATACTATTTTAAAAGCTTTCTTTTTGTTTTCTACAGATACGTAAAGGTGCAGCAGACTGCAGCAGACATGGCGACGTCGATCAAAGAGGTGGACTTGTCTGACAAAAGGCTTCAGGAAATCCTCAGTGTAGCCAAAGACTGGGCATTTTGCACTGGTACAGTCTTGTCAAAGTTGTGAAATGTTACTGGGATGTGTACAGGAATGGGCTAGATGGATGCTTTTCTGTCTTTAGGACAGATTGTAGAGTGTCAGGAAATTAGGACCGAAACACTTGCTTGAGGGGGGTTCTTCCTCTGAAGATCTCCTGCTGTCCGCTCGCCCCGAGAGCTTTCCCCCACTGACTCTAAATTTTGGCTGATGATAATACTGATAATGGATTTCATTTATCTCGCACGTTTCCATTTTGAGGATGCTCCCTGTATTGGCATCAATTTGTTATAGAATGTCCATGGACACTCCAATAGCCTTAGGTTCACTTTGTGCATGAGAGACCTAATGTGTTTAAAAGATAAAACAATTATGTACATTTGTTATTGTTAATAATATTACCAAAATCATAGTTCTGTATGGGCACCCACCAACGAAGATTCTGAAGCAATGACGATGGTGTTAAAAAAAGCACTGGTTTCAATTCCATGAAATGTGAACTTTAGATTTTAAAACAGCGTCTTGGGGTCAAGATGTACTTCTTCTCCCTCTTTAGAAAGAAATTGTTTGGAACTTCTAACTAAGAGTAAGTTGGCTGTCTGAACCTATGAAGCCCTCATTTCTTGCATTTATCTATTTATCTGAAGCTACAAAACCCATATTAATTTTGGTTTGCTTTCATCAGGGGCCATTACAAAGTCTGGCACAGATGAAGTTGAAGCAGAAAAAGCCCTTCCAGCTCCCTACTCTCTGTTTCCCAGCGTTGTTCCGGCTCCTATCTTAGAGCACGTGAAGTCTACCATGACTCACTTCAACCGGCTCATGCACAAAGTGTCTATGGACCATGAGTTTTTAGAACAGTCTTTGAAAAAGTAAGTAGTGCAGTGGTATGGCTTATTGTGTTTTGATTTATTCAAATGACCCTTTTAGACTTTTACTGTAACATTAGAAACATTTATATTCTTTACATCTATCCATGGATGTTTTGAAAATTTCATTTAATGTTACTTGAAAGGATTCTGTTCATGTATATAGGAGCATGAAAATGTGCCAGAAGTACTATGCTGGATTTCATTCAAATTATTGATTGATATTTTACATAGAACTGAAAAGTTTGAAAAACTAAGATGTGTGCAACAAAAGGGCAGTTTCGCCAGTCCTACTCATGTTCTACTCCAAAAGCCCGTATTTTCCCCTCGTACCAACTCCGTATTATGTCTTCCCAACTCTACAGTATTCAAGTATTGACAACTGTTTCAATTACCAGAAGAATGAAAATGTAATGGGGTGGGGGTGGAGAGGAATGGCTTCTCCATATACAGACTTCAACATAAGTTAAGGACCACTTGAGAACACTCTGAGTGGTCTTCTTGGGTCGACCTACACGTGGGTGTTCTTGGACTGATCCAGTGTCTTGATGGCGCTGCCTCAGGCTGACAATGACAGAGTGTGACACTGCAAGCCTTCTGAAAATTTTCGGGCTCCAACTCCATTCTGCAGCCATGCCATAACTTTGGCACGATCAGCTTTCGTCTTGGTGGCACGTTGATGCGATAGTGGATTTTGCGCAACCGGCGACTTATAATATATTTCCACTAAAGGGAGCACAGTTCGAGACCGTACGTCCGTTTATGACGTGCACCATCAATTTTAACTGAGGAATGTCCGTGATGTCGCACAAAAGCCAATAAAAAACAATAAATTTGGCTAAAATTCCAGGAGGATTTCCGTGCAGCACGTGATGGTTTTGCCACTTCAGAGCAAAAAATGTTGAAACATTTATTGCTGTCTGTTTTTCTGATTTTAAAAAAAATCTGGGCTGTCTGTAAAGGTGGTCTTTAACTTATGTTGAAGTCTGTATTAATCTTGTGGTTTTTTTCTTGCGTCCACAGTGTGATTCAAGTAGACCCTTTCATGCTGAGCTTGTGGAACGTCTATTGTAAAGTCAGGGAGTCGGGGATCAAGCAGGTAAAATAAAAAATATCGATGAACTGAATTCTACTTCTATTGATCTGCTTGGGGAAAATTTGGTTTACAGTAGCATGTAACATTAATCAAATACATGTAATCACCACTGTTATAATCATGAGGCGGTACCTCTAGATAGAGAGGGTGCGGTGTTGGAGGGGTTTGTGCGCTCGTCTCCGAAGCGGAAAGTCCGGGTTCGAGCCTCGGTTCGGAGTAAAGGCGGCGTTGAAAGGAACTGGCCACCCTACCACAATATGCCGAAGGCCCAGGAAGTTGTCTCACTATCAAGGCAATCCCCAATGTTCGAATCGGATGCGGGAACAACTTTACTTTTTACCTCGAGATATATCATCTATCTCTGAGAAAAACCGGTGTCTGTGGTGGATTTGTAAAGAGCTTTGGTATTTCATGCAAAAGAAATTAGTTTGATTTCTGTATGGGGAGAATTTTTACGATGCATCTCACATTCTCAGTCTTTCTGGTTGTACGCCGTGTCTCTCTCTCAGCTTGGATAGGCCCTGACAGGCTGAGCTTAAGCTGCCCCCATCTCCTAAATGATCCAAAAGCATTTTTAAAAAATAATTTTAATTTTTTA